TTTTTTTTTAATTCTTTCATCCCTTGGAGGAAACCCCAGGAGAGGTTAAATGTTACTCTGCCAGGTCAGTCTTTTGTTTTTTAAACGGAAGGTAAAATGTTATTTTGGACAGAAGGAATTGTTAAGGAGCCTTAATACTAGAGCATATGCCTTCTTTGCTTCACTAGATAAAACTATAAAGTATTAGAGAAGGGATTCATTTTAATGCTCTTAGTGCTTATATATGTGCGTGCGTGTGTGTTATATATCTATGTACCTATATCTATCTGTCTATGGAGGAAGAGGTTAGGCTTTTTTCTTAATTTGTCATTTTTGTAAAAATGTCTGCATTTGTTAAACCATATGTAAAAGTGTACAAGGATGCCTATACAAGGATGTCTAAGAGACATTTTTGAAAGCAAAAAAAAAAAGGAATTACAGATTGAAAAATACTATTTCCTACTTACTACAATTCTTTGGACCCCAAAATTGTTTGGTAGTTTTGTCAGCCCCAAAATAATGAAATGCAGACTTTCCCCATCTGCTTTCTGTACTCTCAATTTGGTGGCAAATATAGAAAAATGAAAACCACTGGAGTGTGAGAGAGAATTTAAAGTCTATAGCTGTTTCCCCCTTTGACATTATCTTAAAATGTTAGGACATCAAATTGGTGGAGAAGCATTGTGATTTACATTTTTCAAAATTCACCACTAGCATCTCCCTTCATGTGGATCAAGACCATGGACAGCGAACTAATAGTAAATCACTGAGCGAAAAGGACTCCAGTAAAATTTTGTGGGTGCAGAATGGAAATTTACATTGAAAACATGTTAGGAGGCAAAAAATAATCCTTATGATTTTTAGAAGGAATTCGACTCCTTTGAAGTGTGGCATTTCAAACTTATTCCAATCAAGTTTCAAAGAAATGATTTATATGCCCTGTCTCAACTAGTATATGTTCTTTATCCAATTAAAATAAAATGAGGTCTACCTAGTAAATAACAAGTTTAAATCCATCCATTTAAGATGTGGGCTGTTTCTTATAAGGCCTTGAAGCACAGTGAGGGTAGAGAAATTTTACTGTTTGAGGCTGACATTAGCTGAATGACACTAGAGCAAATTAAATTGACTTTTATCAGTGACTGAATTTCTAAATGCATAGAATTGGAAAAATTAAATGCCACTTTGATAGACAGGGATAATATGAATGGAGATATAATCCAAGCTACTCCTTCCTTCTACTTCTGTTTAGGCATTGCAGTCTATAAGCCAACAGTGCAGTGTTGTGGGCAAACTTTTTTTTTTCCTTTGAAAGTCGCAGATTTTTAAATATATACCGATTTGATTTGGAGCACAGGATTGGTTCAGTGTGGTTCTGTGTCAGAGATCAATTTATTTTGTGTCATATATTGTTTGAATTACCTTTATTCCTTTACAGAATTGAACTTCATTTAAAACCATTTCATTTGTGGATTACATAACACATTCAAAATTGCTCATTTAAATTTCCATTTTCATATGTCTTTGGCTTATTTCATAACCTGACTTCAGTGTGCCTTACAAAGGCCTGGGAAATCATATAAGGCAAAAATAATACGCAGGTTCAGGAAATTAAAAGAGTTCATGTCTAAAATTAAATGTTAAAACAACGTGAAGTTAAAGAGAGTTTAGGGTTTATAAATAAATTCTTGACATTTATTCATTAGATTTGGCTATGGAATGAAACTGCAGTTATCCGAATGTACAGATTTTTAACATTAGATGCTAAATATGTTTTGGACACACACATACACACACTTTTTTTTGTTTTGTTTTTAACAACGTCTTCAAAGTACTTGGAAGAAAATACAATAATCAGGACCATGGTGAGGTCTCTGTGGTTAGCCCAGTGGCGGCCCAAGGCTCTGGTTGGGATGCAGAGTCCCGTGGTTGGGACAGGGTCATTGTTTAGAAAGGCACATTCGTCAGGAGTGGCATTCGTGATAAGATTAAACCTAAACCTAAACCTTGGCCTGGGGAAAGGGTGGCGGAATGGCTAGAAGAAGAGATGCAGATAAGCCCTGTTTCTGCTGCTTGCGCACATAATTAAGAGGCCGCTGCTCATCTGGAACGTGGGCTCTGTCCGGCCTAAGGTGCTTATTTTGCTGGTACTTGGCCTACCGTGTGTGAGCAAACAAGAGCCCAAGAGTTTAGAATTAGGGATCTAGATGAGGGGTCCAGAGGGGATCGGCTCTTGTCTCCATTTAGGGAGAGGCAACCGAGAATGGCGACTTGGGCTTGCTTTGAGCTACCCTGACCATTGACGGTAGGGCTGTGAGGGAAGGGCTGGAGAGACTGGTGGCACGACGTCCTGGGGGGGCTGTCTTTGAGCCACCGTGTTGGCGCAGGAGGTGTAGGCAAGGGCAGGAACTCGCCCTTTGCTGTACCCAGGCGCAGCTCTTGGGGGCTGAGCGCCTTCTGCGGCTCTTTGGTTTCAAGGACACAGCGAGCTGCTCAGGACTTTGGGAGCCAACATCTGTCTGACTGGTGACGTCAGCAGCCCGTGTAATCCTCTTGTGCTGAAGGCAGATGCCTTATTTGTTTGGCTGGAGCGAGCCATTAATCCCTAATTCTGGATCAGCAAGCGAGGGGGAAAGACCGGACCGCTCCGACCCACCCCCTCCCCACCCCCACCTCCCTTCCTAAAGCACCTTATACCACGGAAGCCTCTCAGCCTCCTCTGTCCTCCGTGAACGCGCTGAGCAGCGACTGAAAGAGCTTTGGTCCTCTGCAGGTTTGAACAGGGCTAGTAGGTCTTTCTCCTTCGGATTTCTGGGGCTGTGTGTATATGTAATTCTTTCTCTTATCGATCGTTTCGATTTTCTTGCTGGAACTCACTGGTCTTGCAGTTTGCAAGGTCCTGAGCCAAGAAGGGGTGGAGATTGGAGAGCGCGGATCCGGAGTGTGGTCTGAGAGAAGGGGTGAGGCGGGAGAAAGGGGGCACAGGACGCGGGGACGGCTGGACTGCATCAGAGGACCATCTGCGGACCCATTTTGACGGTTCCTGCTCCCCAAATCTCTCCTCTGGCGGCGGTGGTGCCGCAGCGTCTGGCCCCACCTCGAGGCTTCCGCAGCGGGGACCTGCGCCGCGCACCGCCACCGCGCCGCCCCCCAGGCTGCGCGCCCAGCTCCGCGCACCGCGGGGCCCCACCGCGCCTGGCTGAAGCCTGGGGACCGAGGTCATGGCCCACCGGCTGGGGTGCTACGCTCCGGTCACCTTATCTCTCTGCCTGCTCCCTCCCTCCCCCTGTCTCTTCACCCCAGCCTTTCTTTCGCTCCTGCCTCCCTTTCTAATTCTGCTCTGTGATTCTGTTTTTCAGGGGCGTGTTCTGGGTCTCAGCGCTAGACCGGCACTAGGCGCTCTCTCCAGCCGCAGCCGGGCTCTACGCCTCCCGGTGGACGCGGTGGCGGAGGATCCCCCCTTCCTCGGACGCTGGAGCAGGAGAGGGCCTTTCCCTCCGGCCGACTGCGCTGTAGGGGACACTGCGAAAAGAGCCGCTGCGGCCGCCGCCTCCCGCCCGCTGCGCAGAGGGCTCCGCCTGTAGAGGTCAACTCCCCTCACCCCTTCCTCTCTCCTACTCGCCCTCCCTCCGCCCGGCCCGGGTTCCGCCAGCCTCCTGCCTCTGGCCGCAGTCTGAGGAGTGCGCGTCCGCTGCGCTGCTCCGAACCGTAACCCCAAGCCGGGCCCAGCCCGGAGGTCCGTGCTCCCCGGCAGTGGCGAAGCCTTAGCGATCAGCCTTTTCTCTCTGCAGCAAAGCTGTAGCCAGACCAGATGGGCCGCCCGGCTCTCTCGGGACTAGGCAGGTGCGGTTGAGTTCATTTTTCCGCATTACAAAGAAAGATGACCCAGCCCGCCCTTGGACTCTCCTCTCTTCCCTAAATCTCCCAACCAAAACCGCGGTAACCTTATCAGAGGGCACAGAGATCAGACATCTCTGCGTGTTTATCTTACACACACGTATGATTGATTACCTTACCCTGTATGTGCTAGGTCCGATCCCCACAGCAGGAAATGAGTGGCAAAGCTTTCTGCATCAGAACTCGCCATGGCGCGGCCCTTAAAACCTGCCATTCCTGACAAGTCACTTAGAAAGAGATGCCGGGCGCACCAACCTGGTTTTTTTTGCCTTCAGTAAAGTAACACGATTACGAAATTAGATCTGTACCAGTGTAATTAACCTCGATCCCCGCCATCATTTGAAAACTAGGTTTATAGGCGTATGTATGTTTTTAGGTGTGCTGTAAATGGCCTGCAGATAGATGCATATGTATATGCAGACATGCCTCGTCTACGCTTCCGTCGAACGGCCTAATTAGTGGCGGCCCTGGCAGCTGTGGCAGGAGGCGAGCAGAGACAGCAGCCGAGCCTCTGAGTTACGACTCTAGGGGAGTCGCAAGGACTCAGACCTCCGGGGAAGGGGAAGGGCAGGAGAAGTGTGGTATTCATTCGCAGGGGGTCAGTTCCTTTCCGGATCAAGATCAGACTCTGCCCTCCGTGTTCACAGCGGACCTTGATTTAATGTCATACAATTAAGGCACGCGGTGAATGCCAAGAGCGGAGCCTACGGCTGCACTTGAAGGACACCAGAGCATCTCAGGATATGAAAGGGGAAACGACAATTGCAAGGAGATTTGAGGGGTAGTCGAACGATCCCACCCCTTTCGGCATAGAGGCCCTCAGACTAATTCCAGAACCAACCTAGTGTTCCGTAAGCAGAAGGATCACAGTTTTCAGTACGAGCTCGGAAAGCTGCAGGCAAATCCCCAAGGGGGATTTTACCGCGAGCTTCAGTGACAGCTGTCAGGACAGCAGTAGTTCCTGTTTGTGCAAATATTCTTGAGAGTTGAAGCGTTTAGAAAGCAGTGGTTCTTTCAAGAGCAGGTAGTGTGATTGTTCGCAATTCTGGGCCAAGTTGCGGTAACAAAACCAGAAAGAGAGAGAGAGAGAGAGAGAGAGAGAGAGAGAGAGAGAGAGAGAGAGAGAGAGAGAGAGGTTAAATGGAGCCTTCACCGCCTTGTGCAAGAAACCTCATATGGTCCAGCTCCTTAGGGAAGCTCCGAACCACCACCACCACACTTTTCCCTTCTCTTCCCAGTTTCGAGTGGGCCTAGCCTGGCTTTAAAAAGCCTAGATAATATTTTTGTTTCGGCACAGTCGCCATGGCCAAATCAGTCAAAAGAGTAGGACAAGGGCAAAAAGCTCAGGCCAGAAACTTGAGAAGAACTCGGTAAATTAATTTATTTGGAAGCCAATGAGGTGGACTTTGTTAAGGTCGTAGTTCCGCACCACGGCCTTGGAGCCGAAGACAAACCCAGGCTGAGAAAGCGAGCCTTGATGGATGTCTTTGTTCTGCCTTGGCCTGCAGGGGCTGCGAACAAAGGAGAAGAGCTAAGAGGATTCACTAAAGTGGCCGCGCCCTCCGCGCCTGCCGCTGTCCGTGGTGCTGACCATGGCCCTCTTCTCTGTAATTTAACCAAAATGCAATAGGACCGTCCTGTCCCTACCCCAAAGCATAACAGGATATTAGGCAATTTGCGACAGAAAAATTAAACGCAGGAAAATGTAGCATACAGCAAAACCTACTATTTACCGAAATAGTCGACTTTAGCTGTTGCCTCACTTGGCTTCTGCTTTTCCGGCTTCACGTAGTTAATACATATACAGTTAGTGGATGTATATTGGGGGGGGAAAAATCAGATGATTTAGGATGAAACCGGAATCTAAGCAATGGGCAGGACTTGCAAGAAGGAGAATGAGAATGAAGCCTCTACTTTTTTTTTCTTTCTTAAGTCATCTACCTTAAAACTTATGAACGTGAGGTCCTCACTTACACAGTTTGACAATGCTGGTGTGTTCACCAAAGGGTCTCGCAACGGACTCAAGTGTGGGCCTCGAGACATACCAGGAAGGGATGGGAAGGGGACTGACTAGGTGAGACCAAACTGGAGTCCACCCAGCCTGCCGCCTGGGGCCAGGCTTGCGGCAGGGCAGTCTTCCCAGGCAGGGCCAGAGCGTGAGCACTGCAGACCGCTTTGGTGTGTGGACCTTGCTTCACGCTTCCTGGCCGGCGGGAGGCACTGCAGGGCCTGGAGGCCTGAAAACCGCACTGCGGAAAAACCGACCATAGAATCCTCCTTATAGCTTCGGTAGGTGGAAAAAGGCAGAGTGGTTTACTAAATTCCAGGCAATGAAGATTCCCGTTAAGAGTCTATGGTCGTATGGGTCAGTACTAATATATTCAATAAATCTTTAAGTCTCTCAGCATATTTCATCATCCTAACCTAAATATTGACAGCATTATATATAAATAATAAAAATTTAAATGCCCTAACTAAATAATGAATCAAAGAGGAGAGAGAGAGAGAAAGAGAGAAAACGAGAAACGAGAAACCAACCCATCTGTAGCCAGCCTGGGCTCTCAAGAGGAATTGTTACCTGTTCGCTTGCGTTTGTTTATAAATTCACAAATGTAAACGATGTTAAAGTTAGGAATATTGGACAATGGAGGCAGCAATGCTAATTTTGATCCAGATATAGAAATACGCCATAAATGCGTCATACATTAATCAGATTTGTTCTTTCACACCTGAATGATGGAGATATATGAAATGATTCAGAAAATAAAGCTACCAAGCACAATGTCCTCAGCCAGATATATCTTCGCCCCATCCCTTAGGGTAGATTTTATTTGTCCTCCTGTTTTAAAACTCTGCGAGTTTGGTTTTTCATATCCATTGATAACTTAGGTTTGTATTTCATTTTGTACAATTTGGGATGGAGTAGGTAAAACACGCTAGAAAAAAAGGGGGCTACTCGAATGATAAAAGGAAAGGGTTTGGGAATAATCTTCTTGTGACCGTTAAAGGCAGTTACTGGACATTGAAATGGGTTTAAAGCATTACACATCAGCGTGGAAGCTTTGATTTCTTTCTGGTCTTTATGCAACTGTGCTGATCTCCTGCATACACATCCCGTGGGCTAGTTCATGAAGGAACAAGGGTCCAAGGTTATATGTTCTTGGGTTGTGTTATAATTCATATTACGTAATAGAAACTCACATAACCTCCCTCACCCTAATCCTTCCTGTTTAGCACTGTCTAAACTTGCCCTCCGAAAAAGCTTAATCAGTTTTTAAAAAATTACTTTCTAAATAGAAATAAAATACATGCTTGTGAAAGAGAAAAGGTTTTTTAAAATACCACTTAGAGAAGGGACACACAATTTAGTAATCTGCTTGCCGTGATTAAACCTAGAGTGGTTATTGATCCGCAATATTTCTAGATTTTTAAACACTATTTTCTATTTCTCCTAAAAATCATCGTCTGCTTTAACGTCCATTGCCAATTTCCCTGCTATGAAATTCTATGCTCAGCATTTTTGCAATAAATCAATCAAGGCTTCGTAATTGGAGAATTTCGGGGCTGCGTGCCGCGGGGGCCATTTGACAATCACAACTTTCATTTAGTAGTCTGAAATTAAAGCTTCTCGGAATAACTTAGGAACAGCTTGACACTTTCAGATACTCAACGACAACCCTCCGGGGAAATAGAATGTTTCCTTCCTGGGAACACGATGCTCGCGCAGTGCCCCAGGAGGTATCCGGTGTCAACAATGCCAGGGCGCCCTCTGCTGCCGGCAAGAAGCAGAACATCAGTTTCAAAAGCCAGATGGCCCTCGGTCAAAATCAGCGGTGAAAACATTAAGCTTTTAGAAACATTTAATCTGTGAAATATAAAAGCTCTCATCATATTGTACTTTTGAAGGGGCCACCCAATTTTTATTTTGAGCACTCCTTGGATAAGTTTCTCCTATTGTGAAGGGTAGTGAAAAGTCAATGTTTTTTAGTTTTCCGTCTGTCAAATTATTTCTTTGGTTATACATTTTTGCACCCTTTCTCAAATTTTACATGGAAATATGAAATTGCAAACCAGAGTGAAAAACCTTAGTTTTGAATAGATGAATATTTCCTAATTTCTCCAGATAACTCAGATCTAAAAAAGAAAACAATTAAAGATAACCACAAGTTGTTTAACTTTTTTTAAAGATAATTTTTTAAAAAATTAAGGACCGAGGTGAAGAATTGTTTTCTTGTTTTTACAGTTAACCCAGATTTTTCTCAGGCTTTAAGTTTGGGAATAAGGAAGTGAGTTACGTTTGAGGAAGAAGTGGAAACTTTTGCTTTCTGCTAACATGTATGCCCTTTTTAACCTGATAGCTTTGTAATGAATTTATATCCATACTTAACTTGCAAAGACCTCTTTAGTAGAGAACCCACTCTTAGGAGAAGTGGTCAGATATGGTCTCAGCATAGGCAAACTCATAAGAAGTATACTTACATTAAAAACAAGTTTTTCAGTATAAAACAATCTCTTCACAAATGATATGGAGATTTTTTAAAAGGCTAAAAATCCTTGTTAATTTTTATGTATTATAGGGTGTATATTGAATAAAAAATGTACAGTTGTATTAATTCAATGTTTCAAATTTCAAAATTACAAACAGCTTTGCCAAGAAGACCATTGTTGAATGCTAATGTAATAAAATACTTCTATTAATAATGTGGTTGTTAAATAAATCTTATATAAATAAAGTTCTGTTCATATTATGTCAGGATGTGTCAGGATGAAAAAGCTATCTAATATCACTCATTTTAATCTCAGTTTTTAAATTAAAATTCTTACAAGAATATTAAGCTATAAGGTTGCCGAGAATATTAAGCTAAAAATTAAAAATTATATGATTTTATAATTTGCTATAGAAAAAAGCCTTGATTAAATATTAACCGAAGTTAAACATTTAGCCAAATATGTAAAATCCCCTGTAACTATAGGTACATTTGTCTTCTGAAATCTACTTCAAAGAATTCATTTGCAAATTTATGGCCTAAACAAGGTAAAGAAAATTGTTAGAATGTTTACATTTTCATTCTCAACATTCTTTTAAAAACATTGTTTTTCTTTTTGCTTAACTTCAATTTCTTTCTAAATCAATTCATATTTTACCCAGGAGAGAACGAACACAGTGACGTATTTTACTATATTCCTAAAAGTTATTATAATAAGTTTAAAACCAACCTTTAAGTAAATAAAATGCAGTATACATATTGAAACATTTTTGTTTTCTATTTTAAAAACCATTTGCTCGATTAAAACGAAAAAAAACAAACTGAAGAGAACCAACTAAAAGAGCTTCTCAGATGCCCAAGAGATGCAGCCCAACGGGAAAAGCATGCACCAATATTTGCTGTTCAAATTTGTATGTAAGAGTTTTTAACCTCTCTGTGTTTTATATTTGCACGGGGGTAACATATTGTAACTGAAACACTCGTCCTAACTTCTGGCTATTTAGAATCCATGGAAGCATTCAGTTCTATAAACAACATATTTATGGGAAGCACTAATACAGTGATAAAAGCAACTAGTTACTGATAGTTTTATTTAAAAATTAACCACATAATAATTGTGTCCTCATTTATGTCCACTCTCAGATGAAATTAAGATTGAATTTAATGTTTGTGGATCACAAAAATAAAAGCTCTTTAGATTAGAAAGGACAGGTTTTAGCAGACTCTAAGGTAGTTTTTCAATCCAGTTTCAGACTCAGCTATCAGTGCAGTTTTCATCAGCTGCTATTAAGTAACTAGTACAATATAGAAATATGGCTGAGTAGGAATTGAGCGTGTAATGCTTTAAGATGCAATAAAATTGGATTGTCAAGAAACTGGAATTATTTTTTAGAAGATTGATAGTTGCGAAGTTTAGGGAAAATGTTTCCATTGAAGAACAATAGCCAGTAAAGTAAAAACAAAGTCCAGTATTGGAAGCAGACGATACTACCAAGGCAAAATAGGGTGAAATAGGAAGAATTAAGTATGAGATATACGTAGAAAGAACTAAGAAGATATTGGACTTCAATTTTGTTTTTAATATTCAGTAGAAGATATTTATGTAGAAAATTCTTAAGGAATTACTAGATATTATCTCAGAGTGTTTCTTCATTGGAATGCATTGCAATTTTGATCTTGTCATGTTAAAGAAGCACATTAAAAAAGTAGAAAATTAAATTAGCAAAATACTATTTTATTATTCAACTCTTATCCCATGAATTGAAAGGCAGAATTGTGTTTTTTCCTTTCCCAGTAGTTGGCCAAACTTTTTTTTAATTATAAGGAAAGAATTAATTTGAACATAAGAGTATATATCGTATAAATAATATAATTATTATGATATAGTATATTTTGGGCAAAATATCTTCTTCCTGATACTTGTGGAGATCCAAAATAGGGATGTGTGAAAAAGAAACTTGGTTTAACAAAATTCTTCCTTACTGATGATGTCAGTATTCTTATGTAGTAGTCATAATATAGTTAGATAGACAGGATACTTCATTGGAACCCAATCATGATGCTTCTTAGAAGTTCCCAGTAGGCAATGCTGGTGTGAGGAGTGAGGCTGACCTACTAAATACTAAGAACCTTGGCCAAGGTCAATTTAAAGGGTATACACTTCGGGCTGCTAGGAAAACATTAAGTGGAGAAAGGTGTTCTCTGGACCAGAGCTGTGTAATGTCAATTTTCCAGATTAGAGGAACTCCACCTTTCTCTGGATGTCTTGGCCTGACTTCGTTCCCTCAGTTCCCAGAACTAGGCTATAGTAGTTGTCCATTTTAATTGTCCTGACAATATTAGATAATCAAATAGAGACATCTGCAAGCACTCCAAGAATACATTCCTCAATAAGTGATTTTAACAACCTGGATATATTTAAAAGGAAGGATTCTTATTCTTTGAAAGGGTTATTTTAATCTAATTTTTCAATCCAGAAAGCACAACTATTTATAAATGCCCAGTAAGCATTGGGCAGGTGTGTTAGTTGGATGAGAGAAAGTGGTAGTGAGTGTGTATCTACATACATGTGTATGGAGAGAAAAGCTAGTAATAATGAATATCTATATTAGAGATGATGGTTAACATTTAAAACATGATTGTGGAAAAAATAAAATCAACGCTAGCTGTGGCCTGAACCCACCTCTCCTGCAGTTATTGTCTTACAATCAGCTAGTCAACATGGTAAAACCCCATGGTACGAGAGAATTATGAATAAAGAAACATTAAAAATTTGGCTGGTTCTTGCAGACTCCATCCTCCTGCTGTTGTTATTGATTGCAATAATTTTCTGTAGTAATTAACATTTTCTAAATCCATGATACCCTTTCAATGGAGAAAAAAAATTCTACATTATTTTTCCACTTCTCTCTCTCTGCTTCCTCTTATCTGAATTGAATGATGGAACCCTGTAAGGTAAGTTTTTAGACCAATAACATTGAACACACACTTTAGTTATTAGACATGAGACCCAAACTTATACCACTGAAATACACACACACACACACACACACACGTGTATATATATATGTATATGTGTATATATATATATGCATATATATGTATATATGTATATGTATGAATTTGAATTGACTTATTTTAACCTCTCCTTCTTGTCATGGTAAACACCTAAACTCTCCTGGGTTTCCAATGATAAAAACATATTTGTTCATTTAATCACTGAATGATTACTAGGCACTATTCTGTGTTGAGTATTTGATGATGAATAAAACAGATATGATTTCTCTCCTTGTGGAGTTTATAGTCTTAAACAGAAACTTGTCCCATTTTTTAATTTTCTACTTTCATAAACTAACTGTCTTTCTATAATTTAAGTTTCTTATCTTTAAGTGCTTCTATTCCAACCATTGGGATAATCTTAATGATAAAAGTAAATATGTGTTTTACATTTCTAGGATAAACAGGCCAATACATTTACATTCCCCTTGTAGATCCCATGTCCCTCTCGCCTTAGGAACAATGAATGCTTTACTGTCCCCTTTCAAATTTGGAGATCAATTAAGCAAAATGTTAATATAAGCTGACCTAATGTTGATTAGAAAGTATTCATTTCTGTCTGAATTGTGGTTCACTAGTCATGCTTGAAGTTGGTATTTATATTATTATATAGTATTATTATATTTATTTCCAGTTCATCACAGATTCTGACGTCCCATGTATTTTTCACTACATATATGTACATCTAAACTCTGTAATTTGTTCCTTATCTTATTTATGTTTCTGATGAACTGCAGCTTTGTTCCTGTTCATTTTTTTCTTTTTATTTTTTTTTCATTTTAATGAGCTATTTCTTCAATTATCAAGATTATTTTCAATTTATATGCTACATTTCTACAGGGTTTGTAAATGTAACTAACATATCAAACAAACAGTCAGTTGGTTTTATTAGATTTAATAACAGCGCACACCAAATCTAATTTAGTTATTAAACTGGTCACAATAACGACACCAAATCCCTCATACCTAATTGTTTCAAATGTTTAATACGAAGGTCTGACAATTAGGTTTGCGAACTTGTTGCAATGATGTTGCTAACCTTTTTTGATATCTGAGGAATTATTAATTATGAATTTGTACCAACTGGACAAACAGTTAACCAAGTTTACTATTTGGAAGTGCTGAAAAGGCTGCGTGAAAAAGTTAGACNGACAATGCACCAGCTCACACGGCACTGTCTGTGAGGGAGTTTTTAGCCAGTAAAAAAATAACTGTATTGAAACACCCCCACCCCCTACTTACCTGATCTGGCCCCCAATGACTTCTTTCTTTACCCAAAGATAAAGGAACTATTGAAAGGAAGACATTTTGATGACATTCAGGACAGCTGGGATGGCCATTCCAGAAAAAGAGTTCCAAAATTGCTTTGAAGGCTGGACTAGGTGCTGGGCATCTATGCATAGCTTCCCAAGGGGAGTACTTCGAAGGTGACTGTAGTGATATTCAGCAATGAGGTATGTAGCACTTTTTCTAGGATGAGTTCAGGACCTTAATTGTCAGCTCTTCATATAAACATCAAATCAACTAATCATTCCAAAGTCTATTCAAAAATACTACCACACATGTAATTTTCAAGCTATTCTCTAATTCATATCATTAGCTGTGAAAATTTTAGATTTATGGCTCCAGGGAAAGTGATGATAACTACCCAGTTTTTTACTCACAACTGTTGGCTATCACTTTGACCAAGTCTTTGAAAATGGCCAGGGGTCTGTCAGATTTTTCAAAGCAATGACAGGTGTCATGGGTATGGAAAGGGTAAAGATCTTTTCCTATACATCCTGATTCCTCAACTTATCAAAAAATCTGAAGGTAGGAACTCTCCCACTGTGGGATACAGTTGGTATAATATGGTACACCATCTAAATAGTTCATGTGCTGGCCTGGGAATTTGAAGACCTGTGTTTTACACTGAAATCTTTCTTTCATTGGATTGCAGCTTTATGTGAACTTGATCAGTGACTCTCCAAATCAGGCAGTAAGAACTACTTAGGGAGTTAGTTCATAAATTTAGGTTTTTAGGTCCCAGCCTCAGAGATTTAGTTTCAGCAGGTCTGGGATGCATTTAATCAAGCACCACAGCTGGCTCTGATGCGATTGGTTTACATTTTGAGAAACTCTGGACCAGTTCTTCAAGTACCTTTCTAGTTTTCAATTTTCTGGCTATGAATGAAAGGAAATTCATAGGTCTAAGGTAGTGAATCTGATCACTGAATAAGCAGACCCAGAAAGAATTTATATTTTTGGGCACATCTGAGTTATGACATGGAGGGTATATAAGTCTGGCTTCTTCAAGAAGAAACTGACAAAATGGAATTAAATGTGCAATGTTTTCAGTAGGGCAAGTAAATATCAGTGTGGGAATATAGTGGGGGTGTGGGTAAGCTGTGTGAGCTGTCAGAGTGCAGTGCAGGCCTGATCTTCAGTGAAAGAGCGAGGCAAGGAAGGCGGGATGCGAGCATTTTAGACTAACAAGCCGTCTAAGGGAGGTTTGGCAGGGCCATCCAGGAGTCCCTGTGTCAAAGCTGGCTGTCACAGGAGTCCCAGGTCTTCAAGAACATGCTTGCTCTAGTATCTCTCTCACAGTTAGTTAGTGTTTGGGGGCAGTCCGTGGGAAACATGGCCTCTGAACAAACATAATAATGGATTTTAGAGCACAGGAGCTGAGGGCCCTTGGTTAATTACCCTCCCTGTAGCTGGATGTCTGTGAGGTGTATTCTCATGGCTGCCACAGAGACACAAATCAGTTAATGAAAATAATTATTAATTAAAAATTGTTAATAAGTCAACCGATAGGAAATTTAACAGAGGCTTATCTACCTTCACAGTAAGGAAAACCCAGATTTGACATGAATAGGCTCAACATTCAATAAAAGATGAGGGTGATTCAAGAAGTATAGAATAATTATAATACCTCAGGGTATTAGGTAGGATGGGCTGGGTTATGCTGTGATAATAACAACCCCCAAATCTCATAAAGGTTGGCCTCTTGTGCATACTACTTGGCCAGTACAGGTTGGAATATAGGTGTAGCAGGGGTGTTGAGGACAGGAAGACAGCCTGGACATCACCCACTCACAGAGTCACCAGATGTCAGAGATGCCTCAATGGCAGGTAACACATAGGTTGTTTGTACTGGTGTCTCAAGAAATCCAGCTAATGGAAAGTTCGCTATCGAAAGATGATATCATTTCAAACACATGACCTTCCCCAATACTATTTTGGGGAAAGAAAAGGCTAGAAATTCAAGTAGAAATTCAAAGATGGCAAGAGATTTAAACACGTTTAGGGCCAAGCCTGATCCAGTGTATGACTCCACTGTCCACTCAGTTTCTCCATCTCAAAAGTTAGAGAAGTGTGCTCATAGGATGGCCTGGACCCTGTCAGCAAGAAGCTGGTTTCGGAGCAATGTGGAGATCCTAACACAGGCAGGGAGCTTCCAGTTAAGGACTCTGAGAAACCCACCGCTCTGATTCAGGTTTCCTTCTCTTTGGCTGTGGTGAAGAAAGGGGGGGAAAGCACCAAAAGGCATCCAGGTTCCTGAAATCCTGTAACACAATTCTGCACTTTTCATGCGTTAATGGGATAACTAATAGTGTGCATCAGTGAGAGAAAGCATACAACACCTCCTGAAATGTATAGGTGCCTCTAAGCTCCAGCGTTAGTAAATAGAGAAAAAAATAATATTAACAGTTCTCAAACGCAGCCTATATGGACTTCATGGTGCTTCCTAAATGAGCAGGGACACTGTCAAACGCAAACGGCACAGCCTTCTTTTTCTATTCTCTCGGACCAATCGCCCTGAGACATACACTGGTTCTAGGCTGTTGCTGTGCCCACTTCAGGGAAGAGCATGTGGGCTCCATGGAAAGCATCCAGGCTACACTGAGGAATAAGAAAAACCAAAGCACATTGAGAGGGCGCACAAAGAGACATATCACCCGCTAAAGGCTGAGAACAAGCAGGAAATCCGACACTGGCTGCGAGTACATTAGCTTCCATTTAGAGAGATGTGCATGAAACTTAATAAATGATTTTTGATCTATCTGGGGAGACATTCTTTAACAATGCATTTATTTAATGCAGTGGGAATATGTTCTTAATAAATGGGACTATAATTAGCAAATTTAAGATTAATTGGATCTTGTTGGAACGGTGTATACCCTTCTCTAGCATTTGATTTACACTTAATTATAAGGCCTGGTATAAATGCTGTACAATTTAGTGCATAATATTTATCTCTACATAGCAAACTTTCACAATGTGGTTCTAGCTTCATGAGGAAGTTCTATTAGCCTTTGTTACAGAAGGCTAGTACACAGTGATTTCTTATTGAAATAGCTATACTTTATTTTAAAATTTCACCAACTGCTCAGAGTTAATTAACATAACATGCAGGATCTGGACCCAAAAGGAGCTGTGGACGCCTCAAAAGGCTGTTTAAGGTCTAGTGTACGTGAGTTTGTCACTCTACTCTCACCTATGACAGCAGCAACAACAAAAACCCCACAGTCAAATATTTAATTTTTTCTTTTTAAATAATCTTTCCTGTTATTCATTTTCCTATTTCCATTAAGATATGAGAATACTAAAAGATGATGTGATCCAAATCTATTAACATATTCATCTCAATGATACACGGCAACTAATTCAATAACTAGAAAACCAGCTTCCAAGTGAATGATAAATGTATATTCTTACATGTTTCTACTTTTGGAATCATCACTTTTTCATGATGC